CCACTCTCCATAGTGTATAGTAAGTCACTGGAGACGGGAGACCTACCAGAAATATGGAAGACGGCGAATGTGGTCCCAATATACAAAAAGGGCGACAGGCAAGAGGCACTGAACTACAGGCCAGTGTCCTTGACTTGTATACCATGCAAGGTGATGGAGAAGATCGTGAGAAAAAAACCTGGTAACACATCTGGAGAGAAGGGACTTCGTGACAAATCGCCAACATGGGTTCAGGGAGGGTAAATCTTGCCTTACAGGCTTGATAGAATTCTACAATCAGGTGACAAAGATTAAGCAAGAAAGAGAGGGCTGGGCGGACTGCATTTTCTTGGATTGTCGGAAAGCCTTTGACACAGTACCGCATACGAGGCTGGTACATAAGCTGGAGAGACAGGTAGGTGTAGCTGGTAAGGTGCTTCAGTGGATAAGGGAGTACCTAAGCAATAGGAAGCAGAGAGTTACGGTGAGGGGTGAGACCTCAGATTGGCGTGAAGTCACCAGCGGAGTCCCACAGGGCTCTGTACTCGGTCTTATCCTGTTTCTGATATATGTAAATGATCTCCCGGAGGGTATCGATTCATTTCTCTCAATGTTTGCGGACGATACCAAAATTATGAGAAGGATTAAAACAGAAGAGGACAGTTTGAGGCTTCAAGAAGACCTAGACAAGCTGAAGGAATGGTCGAACAAATAGTTGTTAGAATTTAACCCAACCAAATGTAATGTAATGAAGATAGGTGTAGGGAGCAGGAGGCCACATACAAGGTATCATCTGGGAGAGGAAATTCTTCAGGAGTCAGAGAAAGAAAATGACTTGGGGGTTGATATCACGCCAGACCTGTCTCCTGCAGCACATATCAAGAGGATAAAATCAGCGGCATATGCCAGGCTGGCCAACATACGAACGGCATTCAGAAACTTGTGCAAAGAATCATTCAGAACTTTGTATACCACATATGTCAGGCCAATCCTGGAGTATGCAGCCCCAGCATGGAGTCCATATCTAGTCAAGGATAAGACTAAACTGGAAAAGGTTCAAAGGTTTGCCACCAGACTAGTACCCGAGCTGAGGGGTATGAGCTACGAGGAGAGACTACGGAAATTAAACCTCACTTCGCTGGAAGACAGAAGAGTTAGGGGGGACATGATCACCACATTCAAGATTCTGAAGGGAATTGATAGGGTAGATAAAGACAGGCTATTTAACACAAGCGGCACACGCACAAGGGGACACAGGTGGAAACTAAGTGCCCAAATGAGCCACAGAGATATTAGAAAGAACTTTTTTAGTGTCAGAGTGGTTGACAAATGGAATGCATTAGGAAGTGATGTGGTGGAGGCTGACTCCATACACAGTTTCAAATGTAGATATGATAGAGCCCAATAGGCTCAGGAATCTGTACACCTGTTGATTGACGGTTGAGAGGCGGGACCAAAGAGCCAGAGCTCAACCCCCACAAACACAACTAGGTGAGTACAACTAGGTGAGTATACACACACACACACACACACACACACACACACACACACACACACACACACCAGGAAACAGTCCGTGACAGCTGACTAACTCCCAGGTACCTATTTACTGCTAGGTAACAGGGACATAGGGTGAAAAAAAAACTCGTTTTCCGTCGTTTCTCGCCGGCGCCCGGGATGTATGTATGTGTGTGTGTGTGTGTGTGTGTGTGTGTGTGTGTGTGTGTGTGTGTGTGTGTGTGTGTGTGTGTGTGTGTGTGTGTGTGTGTGTGTGTGTGTGTGTGTGTGTGTGTGTGTGTGTGTGTGTGTGTGTGTGTGTGTGTGTGTGTGTGTGTGTGTGTGTGTGTGTGTGTGTGTGTGTGTGTACACACTTACTTGTTCCTACAGGATCGAGCATTGACTCTTGGATCCCGCCTTTCTAGCCACCAGTTGTTTACAGCAATGACTCCTGTCCCATTTCCCTATCATTTCTAATTTAAAAATTATGAATAGTATTTGCTTCCACAACCTGCTCCTTGAGTTCATTCCATTTTCCCACTACTCTCACGCTAAAAGAAAACTTCCTAACATCTCTTTGACTCATCTGAGTTTCCAGTTTCTACCCATGTCCCCTCGTTCTGTTATTATTCAGTGTGAACATTTCGGCTATTTCCACTCTGTCAATCCCACTGAGTATTTTGTATGTCCCTATCATATCTCCTCTCTCCCTTCTATTTTTCTAGTGTCGTAAGGTTCATTTCCTTCAGGCGCTCTTCATACCCCATCCCTAGTAACTCTGGGACGAGCCTCGTCGCAAACTTCTGAACCTTTTCCAGTTTCCTTACGTGTTTCTTCAGGTGGGGGGACTCCATGGCGGTATGGCATACTCTAAGACTGGTCTCACGTAGGTAGTGTAAAGCGCCCTAAATGCCTCCTTACTTAGCTTTCCGAAAGATGTTCTAATTGTCAGTGTAGTGTAAGCTGCTGTCGTTATCCTCTTTATATGTGCTTCAGGAGTTAGATTAAGTGTGACGTCCACGCCCAGGTCTCTTTCTCGAATCGTCACAGGTAGGTAGTTTCCCTTCATTGTATACTGTCCCTTTGGTCTCCTGTCACCTAATCCCATTTCCATAACTTTACATTTACTCGTGTTGAGCTCCAGTAGCCAGGAACTCTGACCATCTCTGCAACCTGTCCAGGTCTTCTTGAAGGATCCTACAATCCTCATCTGTGACAACTATTCTCGTCAACTTTGCGTCATCCGCGAACATCGACATGTAGGATTCTACTCAGTCATTTACGTATATTAGAAATAGAATTGGCCCCAGCACCGATCCTTGAGGTACTCCACTCGTTACTGTTTGCCAGTCCGACTTCTCGCCCCTTACCACAACTCTCTGGCTCCTTCCTGTTAGGTAGTTCCTTATCCATGCTAGGGCCTTTCCCCCCACCCCCGCCTGCCTCTCAAGTTTGTATAGCAGTCTCCTGTGCGGTACTGTATCAAAAGGTTTTTGGCAGTCGTGTGTGTGGGGGGGGAGGGGGGGAGGGGGGGGGGAGGGAAGAAAGGGATTTTGTTATTATAGTGTCACGTGTGTAGTCCAGGACAGTGACAGACATCATGGATGCCCGTTACACCTAGTTTTAGGAACCACGAGCGTATTTACCAGTGCTGACACCTGGCCGGAAACGGGTTGACGAGCACGTGACGTAGTGCCCCAGTTTGGTCCTGGCTGACTCACATGTGTGCTTCCTGTGTGTGGACATGACACACCAGTGTCAGGGAGGCTGGAAGGTGTGGTCCAGCCCGCGCGGGGACTCTCCCTCTTTCCTCTCCGCCTGCTGGAGATTTCCGCGGAGTGCGCCGCCCTCACCAAGACTCGCTCCTTCCGCTGGCGTCAGAAAACCCGTGTTTTGGGCGACGGTAATCAAACAGTTTGAAGCTTACCAAATATGGTTTCAAATTGCCGGGGACTAGAAAGTTATTAAGATTATCGAGGACTCCAGAGAATGCAACCTACAACAGTCGCCTAACTCCCGGGTACATATTTATTGATAGGTGAACAGAGGCATCAGGTGTATAGAATCGTGCATAAATGTCTCGACCTGCCCTGGATTCAAACTCTGTTTAAATCATTTGTGAGCCGCTGGGCTGGTGACATGAAATTTACAATTTGACAATGTAAACTCAGGCAGTGTGTAGGATGGTACTAGTTTATAAATTGTCAACTACAATATCGTGGAAAGTAATATTTCATTCTGTAGGTAGTTCATCCAATAAAATCAGCAGACTTCTAGATGTTACTACTGCTCAGCTTAGACTCGGTTACAAGTATCTCTGGGAATTCTCATTATCTGCTGATGTAGACCTGACCAAATGTAAACTGTGTCAACAAAATTATTCGCACACCCTCCGTCACTATGTGATGGAGTGCGAAAAGATACGTGAATTTAGAGACAATTCTATAACCAATGTTCCAGCGATGTGTAAATATTTCATTCAAAATGATCTGCTACCAGAAATTTTAGCCAAATATCCCCAGTTTGCTAACTGTAGGTAGTAACTAAGTGATTGTAACCTATCCACCGCTGCCCACTGGATGGGGGGCGGTGTGCAGGACAAACATATAAATTTTAACACTAGCTCTCCACATATGTCAGTTGCTTAATTTAGAACCTGTACTTGAGGTCGATCTCGAACCCATTGTTGATGTGACGACTTATATTGAATTTTGTAACTAGCTCATCAAGACTGTAACTTGCTTAGCTAAATGAATTGTGGGGTTCAGTCCCTGAGCCCATTATGTGCCTCTGTAACCCTTTCCACTACCGCCCACAAGATGGGTATGGGGTGCATAATAAATGAATTAAACTAGAAAAACTAAAACTCATTCACCAGGACAACAGGAACCTCGAACTCGCGACCTCCAGCATGAAAGACGAATGCTGTCTACACTGAGCCACGAGCTAGCCAAAATAAAAAAGATTTCAGAGGCACCAAACCTCAAAAATGTCAGTTTGGTGCCTATGAAATTCTTCCTTATTGTAGCTCGCTCTTGGCTCAAGTCGATGGAGCACTAATAGCTCATGCTGGAGATCGCGTGTTCGAAGCTCCTATAGCCGTGGTGAATGAAAACTAGTATATGTTAGATGTCAGTTAGGGTTGTTGGTTTCCACTCGCACACTTACCTAAATGAAGGTGTGAAAGTGGACATGACACAATAATGAGTTGATGTGGAAAGCCCACAAGAAGTGAGGTGGGGCCTGGTGGCAGGAGTGGTCTGGGCTTCCACCTCACTCTACCTTCTTCTCATCCATTACTCCTTTTCTTCACCCAAGTGTTTAAATTCAGTAATTAAATACCGTTATTTGTATATAAACATTCATTCATTCATGATGAATTAATTGTACAGTAATATGAAAGCATTAACTGCTTCTGAGTAGACTGAGAGCCGTTATTCCCATTGGGAAAGAAGTCGCCGAAACTGGCGGTTGTTGTGACGTGAACGGAAGGAGAACGAACGGTTTAAAAGTGTAGGCTGAGCCTCTCGTCCCTCATTCCCAGTTGACCGCTGCTCAAGTCAACACCTCTGGCATTACCACACACACTTAGCTGCCTTTATACCAGTACGAGTGATCAAGCTCGGCGACCTTACGTGTGTGTCAACCATCACCTCCTGTAGACACAGACGAAGAGTTGTGTGAGGATGGCTGACCTCGGGAGTAATACCTGGCGGGTGCTGGCAGTGACGGCGCTGGTAGTGGCGCTCTCACCCGTCACTCCAGCACAACGGACAGAAAACTGTAACACAGAAGTTTCACCTGCCTTCCCTAACAAGGTCGATGTTAGCTGCAATTGCATGCAACGACTCATTAATGTAAGTGCAACTATTATGGTTATTATTTTTATTATAACGTATTCAGCTTTTTTTGTTACATATATACTTGAAACAGTGTGTGTGTAATCCAGCCCTACTAGCTAAATGTCAAGTAACCGTTTAACCGGAGGTCACAGAACCTTCTAGCCGAGTGTTTAGTAAGGCATTATCTGTAGACTACAGAGTCCGTGTCTCACTTGACCCGGAAGGTCATCCAGCGCCGTGGAGCTGAAGCTTACTAGAACTGTTCCAAGCTGTGACGACGTTGTGATGAAGTGTTTTGAGAAGGCCATTATAGTTTCTCCTTTGATTAATATTCCAGCAAGTTTCATTACGTAGTTCACAATGTGTTTTACATTTTGTATATAGACTTGTGTATGAGAGGTTGTTCAGGCAATACGGTAGATGATCTGCCATTAGCTTTGACTTACATGTTTGGTCTCTTCTTAGTTATGGTCAATAAACAGGCTACTTCGGTGTTTGAGTTCAAATGACACATTCCTCTGACCTCCAGAGACTTAATGATGGACTTTTAAAGTTGGACATTAATAGTTTATCACAACAACTGTAAAACAAGAACTAAACGATCTTTTTAAAAATTACACATTTAATATTTTAATTCCCGAGCTTAATTAATGAATCTCTCCTTTCTTCAGTTTACCCAGACCATCGCAGAGCTGACCATCAACCAAACATCTTGCTCCAACAAGGGGCTGGAGTTGAAGTGGTCCGACTTGGAGACGCACGTGGCTCCAGAAACTCTTATCCTGGTGGAAGCCGAGGTATTCATAAGCCAAAAGCAAGCACCTACTGACAACTGGAACTCCAGCATCTCCAAACTCTTGTTCATTGATTCGAACTTTGAGACTCTGCCAGCCCACGCATTCCGAGGGATGAAACTACTGAAAGAGGTCAAGTTCTTCGGAGGCTCAATAGGTAAAATTAGATCCAACGCTTTTAACGAACTCAACCAACTTAAACTGGTTGAAATAGCTAATAGTAGCATTGAGATAATCGAGAGTAACGCCTTCAGCAACCTAACGTCTCTGAAGGATCTGGCAATTGTTCACACCAGCGTGGGAATCATCGAGTCTAAGGCTATTTCGTTACTGAGACAAAACAATGATGAACAACTCTGCGCGGACGTCAGGACGTCTGTTCCTGACAACAACAAAGTAATTAATGACATCGTGGGTCGTCAGTTGACCTCTACGGATAACTTGTCGCTCCCGAAGTTCGGTTCGCGCCTCCTGCTCTTTAAGAACAATATCCAGACCTTGAAAACCCAGGCTATCACTTCCCAGACTCTGGGATTCCTCATTGTAGGCGGGAACCACATCGAAAACATAGAATCTCGAGCATTTTCCATGGAACTGTACAACGAATGCGAGATCAGCGCCGCCCTTTTCATCAGCAACACGATCAGCAACTTAGGAAGATTTTCTTTGACAGCCTTGACAGCACGCGATGACGTACCCTACCAGACCTTCATAGCGTTGGCAAACAACACTTTCCTGAAGGTGGAGGAGCACGGGTTCCTCTTGAATAAGAATGTGACTGTCTTCAGTGTTGAGGAAAATTATTTCCAGTGCTCTTGCGATGAGCTAAGCTGGATCCAGTACCACGCAGATTCCCAAAATGAGCAAGAACTGGAGAAACGACTAGTTATTAACGCCAAATGTTTAGACGGGACCAACCTCATTGCCTTCGCCTCGTCCTGCACAGACTACGGGGAACCCAGTGTTCAGAACACGTCACCAGAACCCAGCTTAAACCCACCAGTGGGTCAGACACCAGTAGTAAGTGGGGTCTCCGTTCAAACGATGTCGCTTGCGAGCGGCTTTGTAAGCGTCCTCACCTTTATGTTCAGCAGGATACTTGTTTAAAGTCTGCTCGCGCCGCCGTCCATCATGCTCCGAGAAGTATACCTAGTTTCAACATGAATAACACAGGTTTACTTTAGCTCCGAATTATGCTACAGACTAAAGCATGCTTGCAGCTTGGTCAGTAGATGATAGGCCCAACACCAAAACAGAAGCTTCCTCGCGACTCTCTGACGGAGCTTACCAGCTGGAATTTCCCTCCGAACTTATGATTCAAAGGACGACCAGACAGTGAGACAGTCCCCACTCTGCTCTGGTGGTGCTCTTTATATCATCTCCAGCAGTAAGGCCAGGCACCAGTCTGCCAACAGTCAAGAGGCCAGGCACCAGTCTACCAACAGTCAAGAGGCCAGGCACCAGTCTACCAACAGTCAAGATCACAACTTTTACTAGCAGTACCCGGCCACGCGTTGCTGTGGCTCAGCAACCTTCCCTGTCCCCCAGTCCTCCCCACCATTCCCCACTCCACCATCCCCTCTTCCTTCCCACTATGCCCCACTCCCCTGTCCCTTTGTCCTCCCCACCATTCTCCATTCCCCCATCCCCTCGTCCCCACCATCCCAAACTCCCCCGTCCCCTCGTCCTTCCCCACCATTACCCCCTCCCTTGTCCCCTCGTCCTCCCCACCATCTCTCACTTCCGTCCCCTCGTCATCCCCACCATTCCCCACTCCCTCGTCCGATGCCTTCCCAAATGGTCTGATGTTCCCATCAGAAAATTGGGAACATCAAGTGATCTGATGTTCCCATCACTGAAATATAAGAAAAACAGTTAAAAAATGAAATGAAAATATGAAAAAATATAAAAATAAACTATACTCACGAAATGAATGGTATGGTAAACAACACAGCTCAATTCCAACGCAATTCACACAAAATAATTAAATCAAAATGAAAATAAATAAAAATCTATGAAAATTCAATTTATCAATGCAATCAGAAACATTGAAATGGAATTGTAACATATTTAGTATAGCATGTGTGTTGCTCTTACATGCAACAGATGGCGCTGTTTTTCAAGAAAAGCATAGTTTTACCTGTCACAGGTGTGGCATCTATACTTATACTTACGAAATGAACGGTATGGTAAACAACACAGCTCAATTCCAACACAATGTCACAAAAAATAATTCAATAAAAATTAAATAAATCGAAATCTATGAAAATAAAATTTATCAATGCAATCGGAAACATTGAAATGGAATTCGTGACATATTTAGTATAGCGTGCATGTTGCTATTATGTGCAACAGATGGCGCTGTTTTTCAAAAACCCATGTTTTTACCTGTCACAGGGGTGGCATCTATATAGTAGGTATATAAAAAGACGCGTCTATTCGAATGCAACGTTGTGTCAAAATTTCAAAGCAATCGGTGAAGAACTTTCGGAGATTACAGCCTGTGTTGCTCTTACGTCCAACAGATGGCGCTGTTTAAAAAAAAAAAATGTTTTTTCCAGTCACAGGTGAGGCATGTATATAGTAGATATATAAAAAGACGCACCTATTCGAATGCAACGTTGTGTCAAAATTTCAAAGCAATCGGTAAAGAGGTTTCGAAGATTTCCCTCACATGAAAAACACATGAAAAACACAGTTTTTCAGAAAAAGCATGTTTTTTTTTTTACCGCCAAAGGCGTGACATCTATATAGTATGTATATAAAAATCTGCTCGGATGCGAATGGAACGTTGTGTGAAAATTTCAAAGCAATTGGTGAAGAACTTTTGAAGATTAGCGATTTTGAACAAACGAACGAACAGTAGCCAGAACTCACTTCTCAGCCTACTATTCAAGGCCCGATTTGCCTAATAAGCCAAGTTTTCCTGAATTATATATTTACTAGGTTAGGTAGACGAAAAAACATTAATTCATGAAAACTTGGCTTATTAGGCAAATCGGGCCTTGAATAGTAGGCTGAGAAGTGCGTTCTGGCTATTAGGTACGACATATATATATATATATATAGGAAGGGAGTACCACCTCTAGCTGGAAGAAGGGGGACCCATAGCCTCGGAGGAAACCACGCATAACGCATTAGAGGGAATGTTTAGATCCCCTCCAATACAGTTTCTGTGTGCTTTTCTCCTACCACCCCCTTCCTTAAATATTTTTTGTGCTTTATTATGCATTTGATGGTTACAAGATATACATATATATATATATATATATATATATATATATATATATATATATATATATATATATATATATATATATATATATTAAATATGACCGAAAAAGTAAGATTAATAATTCTAACACGAATTTTCTCAATATTTCTTATATTTCTTTTCACTGTCGATGGTAATTGAAAAACCAATTCTCCAAAATTCATTTTTATTTCTAGTCTGACGCGACACTTGAACGCGTTTTGTAATAACTTATTACATTTTCAAAGACTTTAGTTTACACACACACAACTATAACCTGCAAACACTAAACAGAGTTTGTTGTTGTTGTTGTTTTAGATTCGCTACTCAGAACAGTAAGTTCCAGTAGCAAGGGCTATGATGAGCCCGTAACTGGAGGCTCTTTGGAGCCATTATCTGTATCAGTGGCTGATACTAGAGATGTGGCGATGGATGGGGGTCTTCATGATGGTTTTCAGCCTGGAGGGCTGGCTATACCAGTTATGGAGCTGGTGGGGTTAGTGTAGACCTCTAGGTTTTCCGTTTTTTCTTTGCCTGCGACTTTGGCTGAGCAGTGCTGTCGTTAGAGTTTGGTGACGTGGCCTCCATGAGGAAGTCTTGAACCGTGTCGGTGTCGCATTTGTGATGCGGCGGTGGAGCTCCTACTATGATTTCCTCGTCTGAGGAGTCCGTAACCGCCATAGTGGGCGTTTTTGTCTTTCGCCTCGTAACCTTAGGTAGGTTTAGGTGTCGTTGATTGGTGGTTGTAGCTATTTCAGGAGCGCTGGTGGTGCTGTTATCGTTTGTAGACAGCACGTCTGCTAGCGCGGCTGCTGAGATAGTGATGGTAGGAGTGTTGGGAGCTGGAGAAGGAATTACCTCTGTTTGTGTCGCCCGGGTCATGGGCGGTTCTGGAGTCGGTGTTGAAGTTGACCACCTGGTCGTCCTGGTGGTAGTCTCCGGAGTGGTAGAGGAGGCAGTGAGATTTACGCTAGTGGCTATGATGGGGGCCAGGCCATTGTCTATGTATAATGCGTTTAGTTCACTGGCAAAGCGCTGGTTGTCTGGTCCTGCAAGCCTTTCCGCTAGTTTAAGAAGACCAGGGATAATGCCTGCACGTGATGCAGGGGGCTGTGAGGGAGCCTGTGGGACCTTGGGGACCTTGGGTCCCCAATGAGAAGGTTGTGTCGCCTGCTGGGAGGAGCCACATGTTGGTAGGACCGGAAAGTCTTCTGGTCGACTAGTGAGAGCTAAGGTTGAACGCTTGAACGGTCGAGGTAGACGAGTTGTTTCTTTTGGCTTCAACCTGGGCCTTGATGATTTTCTGTCTGCGGGGGCAGCGGTAGGAAATTGCGGGGTGATTGCCATCACAGAGCAAGCAGTGATGGACTGTTGCCTTGCATATGGAGTAGTGATGGTCCAGTGCGCACAGGCTGCACTTCTGGACAGGGTGCTGACACTTGTTGGTTGGGTGGGAGAGCTCGTAGCACTTAAAGCACTGCTGGATCTCTTGGTATCGTTCCTTTTTTATTTAGTGGGGTGGTATTTTTAGGCCGTAGCAGTAGAATCCTTGTGTGGCAGCCTGGGTGGCCGCAGCTATGGTGGTGAATGTAATCTTCATTGATGTTTTGTCGGTGTTGCAGAACTCTAGGTTGAATACCGACAGGTTTGGATTTTCGTCCTCGATATTGTTTATGATATGATGTTGAGGTCGCTCAGCGATCCACCGGCTGGTCCTGCTGGTAAAAACAGTTCTTCCGGCCAGGAACTGACGTGGGAAGTGAGGATGTAGGAGGTGCTCTTTGCGAAGAAAGGCATCGTTAGTGAGGAGTTTTTCTAGCTCCTCTTCACATGAAAAGTAGAGCACGATATCTTCACCTTCCTGACTAATGTCGGCGGGTTTGAGGCCAGTTACGTCCTTCAGGACCTTTAAAGCATTGCTTCTTCCGATAGCATGACCGTCAAGTGGAGTAGCTCTGACCTTAAGACGTTTGGGTCGCATTGTGACCACACTGCGCCTTGTGGTGTGTTGGCGGGAGATGTCTCTTCCGTGTACGTGTTTAAACAGAGTTTAAACAGCTTTCATTTTATACCTGCATTAGGGTGAGGTGATATGTTGCAACAGTTTTGGATGAGGTGAAAACAAACTTTCAACACAAGACAGAACACGAAACAATGGGTATAATATTGGGTAAGTTAAAGGGAAGAATGGAAGTAACTGCAAAGGGCCTATTGGTCCATATTTCTTGATGCTTCTATATTGGTGCGGAGTCTTGAAGTGGGTAGAATATAGTTGTGTATTAATTGGCTGTTGATTGCTGGTGTTGACTTCTTAATGTGTAGTGCCTCGCAGATATCAAGCCGCCTGCTATCGCTGTATCTATCGATGATTTCCGTGTTTTTTGTTACGACTTCTCTGGTGATGGTCTGGTTGTGAGAAGAGATTATATGTTCCTTAATGAAGCCCTGTTGCTTATGCATCGTTAATCGCCTGGAAAGAGATGTTGTTGTCTTGCCTATATACTGAGTTCTTTGAGGCTTACAGTCCCCAAGTGGGCATTTGAAGGCATAGACGACATTGATCTCTTTTAAAGCGTTCTGCTTTGTGTCTGGAGAGTTTCTCATGAGTAGGTTGGCCGTTTTCTTGGTTTTATAGTAAATCGTCAATTGTATCTTCTGATTTTTGTCTGTAGGAATAACGTTTCTATTAACAATATCTTTCAGGACCCTTTCCACCGTTTTATGAGCTGTGGAAAAGAAGTTCCTTTAAAATAGTCTAATAAAGGGTACAGGTGTTGGGTTAGTTGTCTCTTCAGAGGTTGCATGGCGTTTCACCTTCCTTCTTATGATGTCTTCAACGAAACCATTGGAGAAGCCGTTGTTAACTAGGACCTGCCTTACCCTACAGAGTTCTTCATCGACTTGCTTCCATCCTGAGCTGTGGCTGAGAGCACGGTCGACATAAGCGTTAACAACACTCCTCTTGTACCTGTCTGGGCAGTCACTGTTGGCATTGAGGCACATTCCTATGTTTGTTTCCTTAGTGTAGACTGCAGTGTGGAAACCTCCGCTCCTTTCCATGACTGTTACATCTAGAAAGGGCAGCTTCCCATCCTTTTCCATTTCGTAAGTGAAACGCAACACAGAATTCCGCTCAAATGCCTCCTTCAGCTCCTGCAGCTGTCTGACATCAGGTACCTGTGTAAAAATGTCGTCAACATACCTG